ACACAACTTAATCAGATTAGACACACCTGGAATCAAATGAGAAACAATCAGGGAGCAGGAACAGGAAGAAAACCAAATAAGGGCAAGGAAGGCACATGGGGAGCAAAACACACACAAAACAAGGAACAAAGTCTGACACTTTGATGATAATTAAAGGTGCTGTAAGTGATTTTTTTCACCCCCCCGTCCACTGTAAGTACTTTATGAACTACATTTTCAAATTTTTTTGAAGAAAATGTGAGTAGTGTTTAACCATGCAACTCGGCTACAATGTTTATGAGATACGGGTGATTGCTAGGATTTTGAAGCGATTACTAGGATATTTCTGGGTGGTTGCTAGGGAGTTCTGCTTGATATCTTACTGGCCACAACAGGAGCCCTCACTGGGCTAAACTTGGGAACAGGAGCCCTCCGTGGGCTAGATTCAGGGACTGGGAAGCGCTTACGAGGAGCTAGCACTGGAGGGTGCTCTGGAGGAGCACTGGAGTGAGCTTTGGGGCTGGAGCCGACACTGGAGCGAGCTCTGGGGCACGAGCCGACACTGAAGCGAACACTCGGGTGCGCTCTCGGGCGAGGAAGAGGGCCCTGAGCCAGATACGGGTGATTGCTAGGATTTTGAAGCGATTACTAGGATATTTCTGGGTGGTTGCTAGGGAGTTCTGCTTGATATCTTACTGGCCACAGTAACCCAAACCGCTGATATTCAGATTCCTACTGTAGGTTTTCCTGTAACGTGTGTAAGTGAGGACCTTTTCTTCTAAATAAATTTGATCCACAAAATTAATTTCCACATCCACAGAGTTCTCTCAAGGGTTCTCAATACAAGCCACACTCATTCTGTGTTTAGCTGTGCCCTGAAGGAGTTATTGGTCTGTTGGGTGTTGCTGTGCTCCATGAATGGATATGTAGTAGGGAAAGAGGCCTGGGCGATTGAATTTGTCGGTGGTAAATATCGTGAGATTGGATTTATGCATAGCGGGTTATCGGAGGGAGAGAGAGACAATGAGAGAGAGAAGATAATGGGGATTTCAGGCGGATAAACGGACTGGTGGAGAAGAAGATGGAGCAGAAAGGTGAGGGGCGTCAGGAGTGTTGGGACAGGGAAAAGAAGAACAGGCAATTTGAGGAGCTTGACGGCATTTGCGTTTAAATTGGGGACATATTGAGTCCAAACAAACAGCGGAGGGGGATCATGCAGTCACAAACAATTTAAATAGGATTCTGGCATTACAGAAGTATGAGGTAATTTTGCTGTGAACTTCTGGATTTCCCTCAATCGCATATCAGTGATTGAATATGCAATAATGCTTCTCACAGCAGCAGAGAAGCCCACTGTTTTTTGTTGCGAGAACGGGAATAGTCATTACATCCACAGATGCAGTCTTATTCAAGGACTATGTGTTGTTGTAATGGCTGTTTTAATAAAAAAAATAACTGTAAACACAAGAAAAGATACATATCACCATATGTTTATAGCTCATGACTGATACAGCATTATCCTTAAGTACAAATATCTTTTGTTCACTTGTTTCTTTCAGTTTTTTTTGTTATATCTTTTGTGTTTTCTTAGTTCTTGATTTTTTGCTTTATTTTTTCATCTATTTGTGCACTACATTCCTTCCGTGATTTTTTCTAATATTTGTTCATATGTCATTTACAATTTTGTTTGTTTTTGCATTAGTTCTTTTTTCCTTTCATTTGCTTGTTCTTTCTGATATTTGTTTATTATTTGTTTGTTTTTGCATTAGTTCTTATTTTCCTTTCATTTGTTTGTTCTTTCTAATATTTGTTTGCTCTTTTGTTTGCTTTTGCATTAGTTCTTATTTAGATTCATTTGTTTGGTCTTTCTGACATTTATACTTTTGTACATTCCTTTGTTTGTTTTTGCATTAGTTCTTATTTTTGATTCATTTGTTTTTTTCTTTCTGATATTTATACATTTGTTCGTTCTTTTGTTTGTTTTAGCATTAGTTTTTATTTTCCTTTCATTTGTTTGATCTTTCTGATATTTATACTTTTGTTTGTTCTTTTTTGTTTTTGCATTAGTTTAATTTTCCTTTCATTTGTTTGTTCTTTCTAATAGTTTATATCCATTCTTTCATTTGTTTGCTTTTGCATTAGTTCTTATTTTCCTATCAGTTGCTTGGTTTTCCTAATTTTTAAAAATGTTCATTCTTTCTTTTGTTTCCTTCTGCACTTGTTCTTATTTTCCTTTCATTTGTTTGTTCTTTCTAATGTTTGTTTATCCAGATCAAAATTTTGGTTTAGAAAAAAAACAACAACGTTCTGGTTGTTGATGGAACCTATTGTTCATGAGTCAAGATTAGATATTTTGTGGACAGGAGCCCCAAGCATGGCCGAAGCTTTCACTACAACACACGTCATCCCAGAGAAACTGCGAAACTGAACTGGCAGGGGCAGCTGCGGTAATGTGAATGCTGTAGCCTATACACTCAACGCAGAGAGTTTTATTTTGCCTTGTCAAGCTTTTGAAGTATTGGTTAATGTAATTGTTAGTGTTTTTAAATAAAAGTTTTCTAAACAACATCAACTTTTTTTGTTCGCTCTTCTTTGTATATTCATTAGATCTTTTCTTCTTTCGTTTGTTTGTTTATAAGAGAGCTATTCGGCTCAGGACCTGGAGAGCTGCTGTCCTGCTGAGTTTAGTTCTGACTCTAATCCAACACACCTGCCTGTAATTTTGTAATGTTCCTAAAGACCTCGATATGACCATCTTCAGATGTGGAGCTGAACTCTGCCAGACAGTGGCGTGGACAGTGGAGTTAAAGAACTCCAAGTTTGCTATTTCTTATTGTTTATTTGTTCTTTCTTTTCCTTTCTTTCATTTGTTCATTTAGATTTTCATTTTCTATTTAAACATGCTTATGTGAAACAAACACATACAGATACAAACACAAACACACTGACACATCAATGCACACAAATACACACAGCGGTTCTTGTGTATGTGTGGGATCAGGATCGAATTGTTATGAATCCCTTTATCACGCACATGCAAAAGAACGTGTTGTGCAAGCTAACATGTTATATAAGATCTAAACCCATAGAACTCACAAAACCGACTATAAGGGTCTAAACTGAGCCACAGTTTTCCTCTAAAGCCTATTTCCTTTCTAAATGCCTTTCCTAATCATTGAGACGTACGGCTCTGCGATTTGAGTGTGATTTGATTGTGGGTGTTGGACCTTGTTGTAAAGACGGGTAAGATTGCCAATTGGCAGTGTGTGCTGTACTTAGACTGGTGCTGGTTGGACCCTTAAGGGGATATTGAACACAAGCTGCAGAGCAAACTAAACACAGCTTATTAATGAGCTCAGGCAGACAAAAGACAGAAAGAGAAAGAAGACGGAAAAAGGCACAGCCTGTAGAACTGGAGAAACGACAGGCATTTCTTTTCCCCCATTAGTGTCCTGTTTGCTTTTTTTAAACAAACTCACTCTTTGCCAGAAATCTCATTTTGGAGCTGAATGAGACACCTGGAGGAGCAGAACATCTCCATGCAGCTCAATCTGAGGCACTAATAATCTCCAAGTTGATCAAAGTGGCCGCACTGAGTATTGACTCAAGTGGCAGGAACCGAAAAAAGATGCATTCATAAGACATTTAATGAGCAGTTCAGCTGAGTAGCATTCAAAATAAATGTCCAAACAAACTTACTATACTTGTGCTGATCTATTCTGCACAGTGCCTCACTGAACCATGAGTAATGGAGTTTCCATTCAGCAGTTTGTGCTGTGAATCATGAGCTGTTACACCTGCACTCTCACAGCAGAATGATACACGCAAGCTGTATTATTACTAATCACAACTGTAATATTAAAGAGAACTGTGTTTTATACAAACGAGTGAATGTGTGGACAAGCTGTCCTGGTGACTTCTAGTCTCAGCCACAGGCATTATGGCCTGTAGGTCGTCCACAGTCCATTCACTGACTGTCTGATTCATAGTGCTCACAGAACAAGAAAGGACTCAATGTGGCAAACTCTAATCTGATGGGTTGACGTTACGCAAATTACAGGTGTGAGAGTACACTGGGTACAGGTTTCTTATCAGTCCACCTGGAAAAAAGTTGTAGGTACTGGGTTGATAAAATGAGCACTTTTGGGAAGTAAATACATTTTATTTAATCTGAGGATTAAATAATCACTGGATTAGTTACTTCATGCATTTAGACTGACAGGATTGCTGATTCATTATGCACATTGAATTTACACTTATTTCCATATAAGCATGTCTCAGAACAGATATTAATTGGATCTGCCCTTCCTGTGCTAAATGCAAATGCTAATATTATACCAGGCAATGCTATTTTCTGTTGAACACTCTCTTCACTCTACATGGCAATTAGTGTTCCCCGAAATTAACAAACATCTGTATGCAGGCATAGTTCCATTCTAGAAAAGGAACGTTTTTGCATGTTTACACATGTTTTAGCTACAGTATATGATCTATAATAAACTATACATTAAACAAAGCAAAGCACAAAACTAAACAAAAAACAAAACAAAAAGCAAAGAACAAACAAAACAAAAGGAAAAACAAAGCAAATCAAAACGCAAAGAAAATCACAGAAAAGAAAAGCAAAGCAAAAAACAAACAAACAAACAAAAACAAGTCAAAGCAAAATAAAGCAAAACATAAAGCCAAAAAAGCAAAGCAAATCAAAGCAAAAAAAAATTCAAAGCACAGCACAGCAAAACAAAGCAAAAACAAAAAAACAAAGAAACACAAAAACCACAAAAGGGAAATCAAAGCAAATCAAAGCGAAACAAAACAAAATAAAACCAAAACTAAATGCAAAACAGCAAAAAGCAAAACAAAAGTGCTCGTAGAGTGTGAATGAAGTTAAAAAAGTGGTTGGTGACATTACACATTGGTCAGAATGGTCTCTTCCTGCTCAGGATACGCTGCAGACCTTTTGTTACTTAGCATACAAATCTGGCTATGTGAGACTATAGGTGACTTTAAGCAGAACTGACCATGGTATGTGCGATTCCACATCCTCTTATTGATAACGTCCCCTGGGGGCCTCGCACCCGACCGATCCAGAGTCTCATTTAGGGCATGAGAATACAGCATGACTCCATCGTGGAATGAGCCAGAAATCAGATTCATCTGGAAGAGAGGAAGCACACAAATTACATAATAGAATTAAATCTCTAAATAACTGGGGTTTAAATTCCATTACTTTTATTAGATTACCAGCTCTCTAGAGACCATAGTGAAAGTATTTTTGAAGAAAACTTGACAGAATCGCAAGACTGTAATTCGATGACCCACACGAGACTGTGTGCTGAGAAAAATGGCTATGTTCCTAATGCTGCTCTGCTTCACTGTTTAATATCACACATTCCTCCTAAATATGTTGAAATACATCCTGTTTCTCTTGCTCCATGTGTTCATTTTAACACACAGAGTATTTGTTTGGTAATCAAAATAAATTCTAATATGGTGATAAGGAGTTAGTCAGTGAGAACTATTTTAAACCTGTTAGTTTTTTTATATGAGGAGGAGCATCATATTTACATAAATGGTAATGATTTATTACTCGGAACGAAACTCACCCCCCAAAGAACACATCTGAATTTAGTCAGATTTATTAAATGAAAGATGATTTGTCGCTGTGTGTTTACTTTGATGAAGCCGGAAAGATTTTTGTCACAACGACTGAGCTCAATCCATAATTTTGTCAGTTCACAAAAACTATATATTGCAAATATATAAATATGCGCTTTCAGCATGTTTCATACATTGTTTTTTGTTAAGCTCAGCGTGTCTTATGCACATCTGCTATGCAGTACTGCACGGCTCACGCTCACTGTGTGATTGCTGTAACCTGTTAATATAGGCAAAACAAAAAAACTAACAAGCAGTGCTAACATAGGCAGTGTGAAACAGGTGTGATAAAGACCTGAGAGATCGAATTTGGAGTTGCTGAATAAAATGTCAAATTAATATCAATGTATTTCCATTTAATTTCTTTCTCTTTACTTGAGTTAGTAAACAACATAATCACAGAAATAAATTACATTTTAAAATATAGTAAAAAAGAAAACGGTTAGTTAAAATTGTAATAATATTTCACAATATTAGTTTTTACTGTATTTTTGATCAAATAAATGTAGCCTAAGAGCATAAGAGACATTTTTTTTTCTAAAACATTAAGAAAATCTTACCAACTCCAAACTTTTGAAAAGTAGTGTATATATGCATGCAGTTATAAAATACAAAAAACTGAATATTTAATTCTCAAACTGTAGCAAAACATGAAGCAAATCGGGGGGGAGTGAATGTACAGCGCTCTCTCCCACCTTCAGTACCACGACTGAGGTGCCCTTGAGCAAGGCACTGAACCCCCAACTGCTCCCTGGGCGCCGCAGCAAAAAATGGCTGCCCACTGCTCCGGGTGTGTGTTCACTGCTGTGTGTGTGCACTTTAGATGGGATAAATGCAGAGCACTAATTCCTAGTATGGGTCACCATACTTGGCCACATGTCACTTCACTCACACTTTAGGGACTAATAGTTGCTTATTAGCATGCCTATTATTAACTTATTGGCTGTTTGTTAGAGCGTATAAAGCACATTTTCTGTATGACAATATTCTATATCACTAACCCTGACAAAACCTTCCAAAACCTCCTTTGGGGGTGTCCTCTTTGTAAAAAAACAAACAGATTGTTTTTAAACAATCGTAAAAATGCAGGAAGTTTTCTGTTAGTGTTGTTATTTATAGCTGTATTATTTATAGCTGAATATAATATAATTATGGTTTTATACCACATAATATTTTTTGGTACAGCTATGTTTTTAGTACTGGTAAACTACACAAGACTAGATTCAAACTTTGCATCCCTGTGAGCCCAACCTCTGTTACATATCAACAACATGTGCACCAACTTCCCATAACCCTGAGAAGACAAACACACACCCGAGAGAGAGAGAGAGAGAGCGGCACAACCAAAGACACTAAATTACACTATGGCATGCTTTATTACCCCTACATGACATTCAGCCATGATTACAACCACCCCACATGTGTGAGAATCTTGTGAGAGAGCTGCAAAGTTTCTGTACTGCTGTTTCCCAGCAGTCTTTGGGGACGTGGGTTTCACTGAGTAAACATGTACATATTTCAGCTGCTGTGATGTTGGTATGTGAACATGTGCATGAGAGACGGTTCAGAAAGCTCAGACTGATGTTGTATTAGTAATGTGTTATATTACTGCGTTACAGCAAAAAGTAATATACTACTGTAATATTATTACTTTTGTAATGCGTTACTCCCAACACTGGTTATGTGTAAAAGAGTATTATGAGAGAGATATTGATTGAGTGAGTGTGTTGATTACCTGCATCTAATACAGCATTCATTCTTCATCTCAATCTCATATTCACAATGAAACATTAGTCCTTTCATCTGTTAAGGGTGATTCCCGTTGAAAGAGCTGCTTAGTACATTTGTTGGCTGTCTTACAAGCAGTTGTTGAAATAAAAAATAACTTCCTTGTTCACAACCCTGTTTCAGTCTCTTTCAATAAAAATGATTAAAAACAGTATTATTTTTTAAAATTATATTTTTGTAATTAAAATTAATTATATATTTTTTGGATTTGAGCATCTGCCATGACACTTGCTGTAAGAAATACGCTGCAATCTGAACTTTCTGCCCTGAACAGCAGTGATTTTTTATTTTATGCAACTTATTTAATATTACAATATGTATTAATACTTATAATGATTAATTAATACATACATGTTGAATGTTGTTGCTTCATTAAAAGCTTATTGTATTACTGTATTAAAAGCAGTGTGTTATGTGTAAAAGAGTATTATGAGAGAGATATTGATTGAGTGAGTGTGTTGATTACCTGCATCTAATACAGCATTCATTCTTCATCTCAATCTCATATTCACAATGAAATATTAGTCCTTTCATCTGTTAAGGGTGATTCCCGATGAAAGAGCTGCTTAGTACATTTGTTGGCTGTCTTACAAGCAGTTGTTGAAATAAAAAATAACTTCCTTGTTCACAACCCTGTTTCAGTCTCTTTCAATAAAAATGATTAAAAACTATTATTTTTAAAATTATATTTTTGTAATTAAAATTAATTATATATTTTTTGGATTTGAGCATCCGCCATGACACTTGCTGTAAGAAATACTGCAAACGGTGAAATGGTTGGAGTTCTGTTATCACTAGAATATCACACTCTTCTCAGCCAATCAGATTTGAGGACCAGAAACAACTTTACTTTTACTTTAAATTGTATTACTTTCAGTTAGGCAACATTTCAAGTTTTTCATCAAATACTACTTCATTTTACTTCATTTCAGCTTTATTTCAATTGCTAAAAATGATTTTAATAGTTTTAGTTTAACCACCTTTTTTTTTCATTTTTGATCGTACACATAAGAGTAATATGTCATTTGAATCTGTAAAGGGTCAATTTGTAAAATAATGAAAATAAACAGGGTGCGCTTTCATCCTTCTTGGTCTTTTTGAAATGCATCACTAAAATGAACTGAAACTCAGTTTCATACTCAGTTTCAGTTTCAAGAATACTTGACACACAGACATGAGAGATATATTTGGAGAAAGCTTGACGTGTCTACTTTTAAATGAAGTAAGTCATATCGAAAACAAATATTCTATGAAACAGCATGAAACCACCCTGAAGTCCAGTCTTTCCCGTCTGAGCTCATTATCTTTAATGTGATCATGCCCACGAACAGCGTAACTCTTCATATTATAATTGGCCACGTAAGATGTGCAAACATGTAAATACCCACATCACCTCTGTAAACAAACGTGAAGATCATCTCGGCTATTTTTTGTTTCTGGAAGAAAACGTGCGGAGAGCAATAAGCCAGAATTTACCTCAGAAGAAGAAGACAATGCTTGATCTAGTGGAGGAAATCAGTTACATGAGTACGTGTTTTATTACTTGTATCTGTTGTTACTGTGTTATTGTAACATAACTTGTACACATTTTACTAGTTTGACTTTTTCCAAACTACAATTCCTGAATAAATGTATAATCAAGTGAAACATTTTGAAGTATGTTTCATTCATTGCATCTAAATGTCTCACGATGCCAGGATGTTTTTTTAATGTTCTAAAAAATATAAAACCATAGACATAAAAGTAATATGAGTTTTTACACTGTAACACTATGCATGTTAGAGTCTAAAAATGTTTAGACCAATCTTTACTGTGAAATTTGCAAATATCTGTTCAAACATAGATGTTTATAACATGTTTAACAATAATTATTTCGTTTTATCAGATATAAAATGTTTTTGTTTTGTATAATACATACAAAGCAGGCTTGTGTTTATGACTACAAAATCATATTTATTTATTTAGGAGTTATGAGTGGCCAATATTAGTGATTGCTAAAGTAATAATTTAGTTACTCCTATGTCAACATGCTAACAGATGTTTTTTTGGTACCTTGAAGACTTCACGTCACAACTGTTTTTCTGTACAGTTAAAGTGCTGTATCAGTATGACTACTGATGATGGGGCTGTTTTTTTCCCTCTTGAATCCATGGAAAGAAGCAGCAAACACTTTGGAAATATTAGGGCCCGTATTCACAAAACATTTATTACCACTAAGAGTTCTCCTAAATAGCAGTAAAAGTTTTTAGCTAAGAGTTTTCTCTTAAAACCTATTCATAAAGCTGTTGAGACAAAAATGTACTAAGGAATTCTCACAATACACTTCAGAGGAACGAGAAGACGCTGGAGAATACTTTAACAAGACTTCATTTTCATGAACCAAGGGAGACGAACTAGGGAAGACGTTTAACAGCGGACAGAGAACTAGGTACTGGGAACACTTTAAATACACACAGGAGGAGGGGATGACGAGACACACCTGGGAGCAATGAAACATCAAGGGAAACAGCTGGGACAAATGAACTATACTAATCAGGATACGGGCATGGGAAGGCACATGGGGAGCAGGACACACAC